CACTAGCATTGTTCTTTGTCAAAAAACAAACACTACAAATCAACTTTGTTCTTTCTTTCTTTCAATATTTCAATTTTTAATTTGAGTTTCCACACCCCCCTGTGACCGAGAAATGAAATTAAACGGTCACTTACACTCAAAAAATGACAAAAATTAAAATACTGCTTTGTTTCTCACTTTTCTATTGTTTGTTTTTATTTAGTTTTGTGGATAAAACAGATTACTCGCCTTGTTTAAAGAAACTGGAGACGCACCCTTCGTTCCTGCAGTAGTAGTTATCTCTCTCACCAGCAGGAGGCGCTCCAAAAAAAAACACATAGAGAGAAAAAAACAGGTTAATGCAAGTCCAGATGTTTTTCACAGGCTGCATCAGTAAAACCAACCCCCCTCTGTCATAAATCACTGCTAAGACAAAGGAAAGCTCTCAGCCAGAAAAAAACTTTGCATCACCCTCACAGTGGAATGCAGCTCAAACTGGCAAGTCAATACACAAATAAAAACAGAAAAACAACAAAAACTACACATCTAACACAGAAACACACCTTTAGGACAGAAACACACACAGGCCTGGACCCCTTGCTTAAACAGAGCTTTAAAAAAATAACAAAAAATGTATGACAGGCCCCTTTAATTTCCCATTTTTTTTTCTTTTTTCTTTTTCAGACGAGGCTTCACACCCAGTCATTCACACTACGTCCCCAGCCTTTCGGCGGGATTACGTCAGCCCTCTGGGCCCCCAAGAGAAGGGCTACAACCGGTTACTTATCTGGGCAAAGTAGCAGAAATCTTAGGCTGAACGGCCTTCGTACGACCGCGCCCTAGCCGCAGCTAACAGGATGACAAAGGACGTCTCCCTGCCGATCCTTCAATTTAACCACGGTGGTGCGGTTAACCCCACTTAACCAGAGATGCGCATCTCAACACTTATACTTCAAAGTACGTACTTTTACACATAGAACCTCCAGAGAAACACTTTCTCTGTGGCGGGCGACACTGTCATAAAAATAACTAATAAAATAGCTTAGCTTAGCAATGGTCGGACACACTAAGAACAATACAAAGCCAGATCTCCAGTGGTAAAAGCTATACAGGAAGTGAGAGGTAGAAAAAAATGCAAACCAGATGGCTGTACACAGCTACCCCCACTGCGCCATAACTCAGTTTGGACAGGACAAAGAACTGTTTTGAACCACACCCCTCTTTCAATCTTGAACGGCCAGTGTTCAAATTTCCACTAAATCAAGCTTTTAAACACTCTGTAGCTGCACTGCTAATCCTTAAATTTAATATTCTCAACACAAATGTGGCAGTGATTGCTCTCTATATCTAAGCTCTTCTGCACCTCGGCATAAAAACTCTGCTACCTCTTGTAAAAATTGAATCTGACGGAATTACATGCCTTTTCCGGTCTCGGATTAGGAAACACCACTGCTTGACAATTTAAAACCTAAAAGGAACAGTTTTATCGTGAGTTAAGCTGATTTACGACATCTGCCGTCACTGCAGAGCACTTTTTCACTCTCACAACATGGGCGACGCCACACCCAGAACATGTGCTGCGCAGCCCCCCTTCTCTGTATCTCAAGCCTTTGTTCTCCTCGGAACTACGTAATTCGACGATAAACGCTCTTTTTAACCCCAATAAAAACACAGATTCACCAAAAACACAAACAGAAACGCTAGCATGACAAAGAAATTTGATTCTAGAAACGAAAAAGACACAGAAACAATCTGAAACACTTCACGTATATTTACCCTCCCCCGTTCAGTTTCACAGCTGCATTTTACAACATCACGAAGCAGATACACGAAGAACACGGCCAAATGAACGTCTTTTTCTGTAAGTTCGTGAATAGAAAATGCAAAACAGACCTAATCTCGTGACGCCATTCTGTAGTGTCTCTGTGTGGTCTCGGTTCCGTTCGGCTTTGTCAGCTGCTGGACCCTTCTCCCTGTTTCTCTGCTCCTCTGCTGTCGGTGGCTCAGATCCTCCCTGCTCTCTTTGTCTGCTCACCATCTGCTTTGGGCTGGTGCGGCTGGCTCCTTGGTCGATGAAAACTAGTGGACTTCCTCCTCTGGCAAGTCAGATGTCAATAAAACTCTAGTCTAACATATTGAATGACGAAGAGGCGATTTCTTCAGTTCTGGACATGTTTATTCAGCGAGAGACACTAAAAAGCGCGTCCACACAGCTAAGATGTTACTCTGACCCCTGACCCAAGAAGCGTGCGCGTGCCTGAGCTTGTTCACGTCTTAAAGAGACATACACACCTGAAAATATACGACAGAAGCGAGAGAAAAGAATACATTTTAAATAAAAATATGGTGATATAAAAATTAAAAAAAATTAGCGGTTGTAATTCTAATACTTTTATCATTTGTATGGACATGTTTTTAAATATTATTTTTTCGTCATAARAAACGCGAAATAAACATGAACCTACAGCGGGTCAATTAGTTCTTCAAATGATACCTAAGTTAATTTCATAGTTTTGTGATATTAATAATGCTAATGTATTGATATTTTTCTAGTTTTGATTTAAGTTTGCTTGTTTAGCGTCGTCACAGTTGCTAGGTGACATGACGTACGCCGGGGTAAGGAGGGGAGGATAGACCGTCCAAATTCACAGCCTCTTTTTTTCCGGTCTTCCCGGTCTACCAAGGACCCGGCCCTCCGAGACCGGGGAGTCTGGGTCCTCCGGAGGACCCGGCCTGTCGTTTTGGACACAGCCAATATTTTGATATCTTTATTTTCACTTTCATAGTTTTATCCTCAACTGCTTGTATTTTTAACTGTGTTGAGTGTTCATAGTTAAAAACAGAAAGGTAGGAAGTGACAAAAGCCTGAGGTCACCATGTTTTTGTCTCTGCACTTCACCACAGGATTAGTTTTCCTGTTTGATGTAGATTTTTCTAGCTTGCAGTTACTCTGCAGTCTGATCACACACACACACACACACACACACACACACTAAAACAGATGTTATGGAAGAGATCAGGACATCTTATTGATTACCTGTACATGGTTTTGCTTTCTTAATAGAGTTTGCAATATTGGCAAAAAAAAAATCACGATTAATTTAGCCGATAATCGTTAATAGCTAATAATTGTTAACTGTCATGTTTTTGACTCTGAATCAGTTATCATGAGTTTGACTGAAGTTTAGAAGAAATAATTTTAACAGTTTAATATAGTCAGTGTTGCCTGTCACAGTGTGGAGTGGCAGCAGATGTGTAGTAACACAATGTGCCACCTGCAGTCATGTAGCTGCACAGCATCATCACCTGACACCAATTACAATAATTGCAAAGCAGAAAATATTAATTGAGTTTTTCTGCTGATTTTTACAGAAGATATGATTTTACACACCCTTATTTCTTAATGCTTTGAGTTCATCATGTTTGTCTGCATTGAGAAGTTCCTGTAAAGGAAGTGCTTCTAATGAATTAGTATAAATAATGAGGTTCAGCTCAGCACTGCTGGGAGTTATTACATGCACTTAGTGTAATGAAATCCTAACTTTCTGATTCATTTGTAAGAATGACCTTATTCTGGGTTTGAGGACAAGAGAAGCTTTTTGTCTAAAAGAAATGTTGATTTTATTTGTCTGTTAGAAACTTGACTTTTTTCTGTTTGTAGGACCTGGGATGGTTTGACAACCACAAAAACAGTGTTGGAGCTCTCACAACCAGACTGGCTACAGACGCAGCCCAAGTTCAAGGAGTGAGTCTGAGAAGCTCCAAGAAGCTTGTTTTTATTTTTAAAGGACCAGTTTAGACCTGTGTGTGTCCTCTGGTTTAATGTTCACTTCCTGTTCAGGCCTCAGGAGTCCGTTTGGCCACCTTCGCCCAGAACTTTGCCAACCTGGGCACAGGTGTGATCCTGGCCTTTGTGTACGGCTGGGAGCTGACGCTGCTCATCCTGGCCGTGGTGCCGGTCATCGCGCTGGCCGGAGCCGTGCAGATGAAAATGCTGACGGGACACGCAACCGAAGACAAGAAGGAGCTGGAGAAGGCTGGGAAGGTAGGAGGTGTGACTGTGAGACAGCCAGGACTCTGAGGTCAGATCTAACAGTTCAGCTGTCCGTACAGATCGCCACCGAGGCCATCGAGAACATCCGGACTGTCGCCTCGCTCACCAGAGAACCGACATTTGAGTCTTTGTATCAGGAGAACCTCGTCGTTCCTTATAAGTATGTTTCTTAATCAGATGCAGATGTTTTAGGAGACCTCTTCATGACGTTAACACATCTGTGCAGGAACTCCCAGAAGAAGGCACATGTGTACGGTTTCACCTTCTCCTTCTCTCAGGCCATGATCTACTTCGCCTACGCTGCATGTTTCCGCTTCGGAGCTTGGCTCATTATTGAAGGAAGGATGAATGTGGAGGAGGTGTTCCTGTGAGTAATCTGGTGTTTTGCTGTCACTACTTTCAGCTTAGATTAGATTATACCTGTGAGGCAGGTGGAACACCTGTGCTCAGAGAGCTGACTTTGTTTTATTCCTTTTTTTAATGGCTGGTAATCATTACACCTCTGTGTGTGTGGGTTCAGTGGACCTGTGTCAGGATTATGCAATAATCCAGCAGTTTATTGGTGGGAAGATGTTTGCTCTTCATTTATATTCCACCTGTTATCAAAGGCCAACGTTCAGCGCACTGTAAAACAGCAAATAAAGCTGCAAACATTAACTCAACTGTTCAAACATGAGCGCAGTTTGTCAGGAGAGCTTTAAAGAAATTTATGTTTTTAAGAGACAAACATTACAAATTAACTCTTTATGACATGGTTTGAAATGTTTTTATTTAATTCAAACACAAACTCAGTCCAGGAAGTTCTGCAGCATTTAGTCTTCATACTTTAGTTTTATTAAAAAAAGAAGAGAGCATGAAAAATGTGACAATTAGCATCAATTTAAGAGTTAAAATCTATGATTTGTGGCAGCTTTTAGCTCATGATGAGCATAAAGAGTGTTTAGATTATCTCTGGGATGTACTGTACCCAACTTTATGACTACTGAGTACTGATAATGTGTTTTACAGTTTCTCTTTAGGTTTTAGTGGTCAGGGTCCACATTGTTACATTCTGTCCTGAACCCTTGGTCCTGGTCTTGAGCCGGAAAAGGGCAGAGTGCCTTCTCCGGGTCAGGGGGGTCGTCCTGTCTCAAGTGGAGGAGTTTAAGTATCTGGGGATCTTGTTCACGAATGGGGGAAGAACGGAGCGGGAGGTCGACCAAAAACAAGTACAACTGAACTATTCAGGCATATTATTTTTTTCTAATTATTTTAATTATGTAGTCTTTAAAAATATTTAAAGGTAATTCTGGTGGATTTGAGAGAAAGATGATAGAAAGAAGTTGGATTATTTAC